TTTCATGTGCCTTTATCATTATGATTAACGCTCATTTGCGGGTGTAGTAAGGCCCAATCGATGCAAGTGGAACGCGCTAATTACATATCAGTTTCGGTGAGTAATATTCACCTTACGCTCTCCAGCCTTTAGTCATTCCATACTTTGAATAAACGTTACATAGGTTTGGCTGAACACAAATCTAAATACAATAAAGCCAACGAAATGTTAGCTTGTGAATAACACTTTGAAATTTTCAAAATCTCTACAGATATGCTAGAAACAAAACTTAAACCCAGTTGGAGAGCTTCAGTCATACACATGACGGGTTTAACATAATTTTGGTTTAGGCAAATAGCATTTCTGATGAAGACGAGAGAGACTCGATCGGCCATTCCTGGCTTATTAGTCGTCGTCAGCCAGTTATATCCAACACCATAACATCAAAGGACTCTCGAGCATTGCCGGGGTTAAGGAATTAGTCCTAAGGCTGAACGGTACAATTGAGTTACGTTAGCAAACGGTGAATATTCATCAAAGAGTGTCACTATTCAGGATATAAACAGACAAGACAACGAGCTAATGACCCAATCGTCAGAGTGCTAGACTTCTAACCGAAAGGTCGCAGATTCTATACTCGGGTAGTGCAGCACTCGGAGTTGTGTTCGAGTGGCTGATGACGACCGATGAACAAGAAACGCCCGTTTCAGTCCTCCTCGTCTTTGCCGGCGAAGGTATCCGTCTACACTGCTAGCCGAAGTGCGGCTACTGGTGGGACTTGAGGGTGTGCCAAGACCGAGCGGAACGAATGCGTTCCGTTAGCTTTCAGCGCACGTTCATCAACAAATTATAGGTTGCTGGCCCTCTGGAAGAAATTTCAAGCGTCTGACCTATATAAATTAAACCTGGTTCAGAGTAAAATTATCCATGTGGGAAGAAGACGACTCGAGCATATCTGGCATGTTAGTCATCGCCGATTAGATCGCTATCAAAAAAACGTCTTTCCCGTGATACTGACTATTCCCGAGCACAAGACATTGTGCACAAGGTGCTCTGATGGTCATTGCCTGAAGAAACGGGGTC